ATGGAGAGCTTCCATCGCCATTTGATGCAGATTTATGGTTTAGATTGTTATCATCCGGTGAACTATGTAGGAGGTTATCCAATACAATGCCTCATTAATTTCACTCAATCGTATCCATGCTTATTCTCAATTAGTCGCAGAACGAACCGGACAGCTCAATTTATGCGGCCTTTAATGTTGTGGCTGAAAACTAATTATACAATTTCACGCACTCACTCTAAGCACTCAGTTAAGTCTGGATGAGCAAAAGAAAGCCATCTTTTGAAAACTTAATCTATGACACATGTTGCTCGAAGACGCTACTTTCTGGAAGTAAACTTGCTCGCAAGTATATGGATTAAAGGCATACTGACATTGAACTTATCCAATTTAATAGTGAAAACACAAAATATCAAAAGTTTCTGCGGAACGTCGGCCGCAAATTGTATTATATAAAAATAGTAAGCTTTTATCACACTTAATTTCAAGTATGGTGTTGTGAACCACTTGAAAGGCAAGTGGGTTCAACACCTATGTTGTATAAACCACTTGAAACTCATTTCAAGTGGTTCACACAATACCAGTGCTATATTAGCTCATATTTAAAAAGGAAAAGAAAAAAGAACTTTACAGGGAAATTTTGCTAACTTTTAGAGGAAAAAGAAATTTGATAAAGAAAGTTTGCTAGCTATATTCCCATTGATAAAGATCACAAAGTTGATGCGCCATTTTATTTTTAGGCGTTTTAAAAGAATTAATTTGCATACCAGCGAAAATCTTACTAAATTTTAAACTCCCTAAGTTAAACAGAACTTGTTCGCTGATTTGATGACCTTTGCTGGGTTAGTATAAAAACGCTGGCGATTAAGAAGCAACACTCTTCAACAATGCAGAGAATCGTCATAGCAAGTTTTCTTCTAACAACACACTGGTAAGCATCCATATTGTAATTCAAACCACCGTTTGTATTCACCCAGAGATAACTAAAGAATTTTTCTAGTTATTACGTCACAGCTGGCGGCGGTGGATATGGTAAAGCTCAACTTCCAATTTTATACAAAAACTACAAATCAACTAATCATATGTCTTCAAGCGCTTGCCGATTTTGAATACCTCTAATTAAAATCTCGTTTAGGTGGCGGTTTGGGAGGAGGAAGCTATGGCAGCACAGGTGGCGGCGGAGGTTACTGCTTCGACTAAAATTTCATGAAATTTTCCAAGTACTCAATAGACGTTCGCAGAACAATGATGCGCAAATATGGAGTGGCCTCGATTCATTCTTCTCCTTCACGACTTCCTTTCATTAACCTTTCTGGCATCACAAAGTCTACGACAGAAGTTGAAGTCAAACCGCTCTGTTATGCGTTTTAGAGTTTCATATAAGCATTAATACACCTTTATACACATTTTTGGAAAGTGACACAACCCCGTTACTGAGGATTTTACTGCGGTAACATAGATACTGTAAAAGTTACAGGCGGTAGAAGTTATAGAGGGAGTGGTGGAAGCTACAACCACAGTGGTGGTGGTGGCAGTTAGTCAATCTATTACATTCGTACACGTAGGTTAATGCTCATCATTCAAATTTTCAAAATCATTATTGAAGGATATGGCATTGCACCTATACCCGTGCCAGCACCGATGCCGTCAGATGGATATGCTAGCAGCAACAGCTATGGTGGAAATGGTGGAAGCATAGGAGGGGGCAGCTACGGAGTTGGTGGTGCTGGTGGTAGCAGTTATGGGGGTGGCATTGGCGGAGGATATGCCCAACCACCTCCGCCTCCACCGCCACCGCCACCGCCACCTTCTCCCCCAGAATATAGCAATGACGGCTGCTGTGGAGGTGGTGGTGGCACCGGTGGTGGCAGTTATGGTGGTAGCATTGGTGGAGGCAGTTACGGAGGTAGCACTGGTGGAGGATATACCCAACCACCTCCTCCTCCACCGCCACCACCGCCTTCACTTCCCTCAGAAAAATATAGCAATGGCGGCTGCTGTGGAGGTGGTGTTAGTCCCGGCGGCGGCAGTTATGGTGTTCGCCCAT